CCCAAGTCTGTGTAGAGAAATCAACGAGCAAAATGAATTAATAATAACTTGGTATGCACAATGGCTGATCACAATTTAAGTCTATTAATAGATAGACTAAAATTAATAATAATAATTATAATTACGATGTGATGATGAATATGAATATAACAATGAATATCGAATTATGATTTAAGTTTAACTTACAGTAACTTAACGCAATGGTAGACGCTTTGAGGATGTAGACGTTGATCGATGTCTTCTTTCGATGGAATAACTGATTGGAAAAAAATGTTTCATTATACAATACACATAGAATACATAATATGCACAGTAAATAAATCACAGTATAGAAATCACAGTACATAAGAAAATAAATATCGAAGCCAATCGTTCTCGAACATCTGTAACATACAAGGGATTAGTAACAAGAGAGGGGACACAACAATATGCACAATAAATAAATTGATGGTTGTCGAATGCCTGCAACAAACAATGGGTTAGTAACAAGAGAAAGGACGAGTATGAGACGCGCGCCCACCCTCCGCGACGGTTCACGAGAAAGTGAGGAAGCTAACGCCGTTATGTATTGGGCGTACGTAGGTTATTACGCAACAGCTAGTTTCTTTGTCACGTTTGTTCAAGTTGAATTGTTTTTGCCGGCTTGAACGACCTTCCTCCTTAAACGACATAAACACCGGATGGTACGGCCAGGTACGGCCATGGTATACGGCGTACACGGCTAGGTCAATGAACTGTATGACGCAACCTCACTAGTGCGTTGGACCGACGGAGAGCACCGATACCGCGGCACGCTCTACCGTACTCTCTCGCTCGCACACCTCCCCCCATAGACCCCTGAAATTCCTCGGCACGCGTCAACACCGACGGAGAGCACCGATACCGCGGCACGCTCTACCGCTCTCGCTCTCTCCCGTTCGCCCGCTCCGACCATCTTCGGCATCGTTCGGTATGCGTCGACACCGACGGAGAGCACTAATACCGCGGCACGCTCTACCGCTCTCGTTTATTTACGATGTTCATATTTCCCAAATAAATATCATTTTTTAACTAATTTGTTTAAGCAACATGTTCCTTTTAAAGATTTAGCTATAAATAGCTGTAAATGTCTTTGACACATATACATAGAGTCTCCTACCTTAACTATTAATTTAAAATTTCCAGCAATTTCGTAATGCCTTATTAGCATTTACTGCATATTCGATAAATGTCTTGGTACTTATGAATGGGAGTGTACTTATGGATAAACGTAAAAATAAATTTATATACTTCCATTTGGTAGACGTCAATATGTTTTATTTTTATCGTTGAAAAGAACAATTACAATCATGCTTACGTTCACGTACGCATGTATAAACTATGTATGTCTTTTATTGGGATGTGTGGGCAGCCGCTATACTTAACAAGCAAAAGGCAGAGGAACATTCAACCAGACACTTTAACGTAATTCATTCTTACGTAAACATTTGATACGTGGTGTAGTACTATAATTAACATACTATAAAAAGTTATTGACAATAATCAATACTTTAAGAATTTAAGTAACATTTTCATAATGGTAGAAGAAGTAACATAAAAATAGCAAGTAAATTTAACAATCTTTGTTATTTTGAACACAGAAAAAATATCTGAAAAAAAAATGATATGGTTTGCAAATTTCATTTTTTTATAGATTTAAAGCATTTTTTTTCTTATCTACTATGTTATAATTACATTGAATAAAAAATAGATTTATCTAACTACAACATTATAATTTTAATGAGACCGTAAAGATTTTAATATTTGCACAGAAAGAATACATATAAAGTACATATATGTATATACCCAGTTATAATGTTCTAGCTAGATTGTCAAATTCAACTCCTTATGCACTAACAAAAACATACCTTGAAATATAAATAGAATAATTCCAGAAGATATTCATTTCAAAGATTTCTTTCTATTTTCAAAAATAACGTATATTTAGATATTTCCATGTAGATAGTCACCCTGTATAATTTGCATTACTTATAGTGAAATACACAGCAAAGAATAGTTAGAAAGTTTCTGTATTTATAGAATTAATAAAATATAGAAATAGACCTCTGTAATTAACAAACGTTCATTCACACGATTACTAATACCAAGAATGACAAACTTGAAACGCAAATAACCATGATGTATTCAATGTATACCATAATAAATGGATTATAGATGAGAATATAAATAATGTTCATGGCAAAAATATACCACTTATGCCCTTAAACTGTAATATATAAGTTCATTTGCTTATGGGTAAACAAAAACTCTTCTCCTTAAGGAAATTTGCTTCTAAGACGATCAAAATTTCTCCTGATTATAAATTTGTACATACATAACATTATCTACAAATATATAGAGTATTGGCATGTAAGAATATTTGTCTCTGATTTAAATTTTTTCCATGACACAGGATTGTGTCCGTGCATAATGATAAATATCCCTGTTGCAGGGATTCAACGCTCTTCAATTGCATAGAGACATACAAAAGACATCATGAAAGTTAGAGTAACGTGTAGAAAAGTTGTTGAAAAGCTATGTTACATAAGTTCTTGCCTATCTCTAACAATATTTTAAAATATGAAAAATTGGCTCCACTCTCCTTCTCAAGAACTCAGCTGATATTAGTTTTAACTTGGTCGACTAGAATCGCAGTTGCCATTGGTAATACCTAGACTCCAGATGTTTGTGAATATTTATTCATTTATTAATAATACATTCAAATATACAAAGAATCACAAAACAAAGTTATTATTATTCTAGGAGCGTTGGAAAAAATGCGGACCCAAGCGGGATTCGAACCCACGACCCCTGGGCTCCGAAAGCCGAGACTCTACACGCTTTTCCAGGGAGCCTCCTATTTTCCATTGATGTTATTTGCTCCTTTTGTTGGGTATGGAGGTCCCTACCCCACATTATTATCATTAACGAATGTTTAATATATAAGAGTTTATGAATGAACTTATAAACATCTGTAGCCTAGTAGTAATATGGTCTCACAGTACTCAAATATTTCATTATGAAACATTTTTCTTTAGCAAAGGGGTGAGTAAAGACATTTTCATTATATAAATATTGTAGGTTTGATTACAGTAAGTTTGACTAGAATCATAAACGTAGATGCTAAACATATCAACTGCGTTGAGATTTTATTACAAAATAGTTGTCTCAGAAAATTATGTTTTGTAGAATTCCTGTACGGAAAAAATAAATTCTTTTTACTTGTGTATATGTATAGATATACGTATTTTACAACTCATAGTCATGATGAGTTTGACTAGAACCATATATATACTTGATAATCGTATTAAATACCTCAGTTTGTTGAGAATTACTTTCTGTTTTGTTAATCTTCCTTCTAGAGGAAATTAAACTGCTTTAATCATACAGACTATATGATGATAGTTGTACTATCGATGGTCATGGTAACGAGATGGACTAGAATCTTAAATTTAATTAACAGATTTTAACCCTTAAGTAGTCGTATAGGATCATCGCATTTTTAAAACGAGAAACAATACGCTTTCATCAAACGAAACGTGCCTACATCATCGCTAGCTTTCTAGTTCGTGTCGAACTTCACACTTCAGTCCCTATCGAAATGTTATTATACCTGGTGCACATGCATCGTTGCTCTCTTGGATTGTGACCCAAGAAGGTTCTGTTCTAAAAGAGGTGATAAAGAAGTAACGACTAAATGCAACAAGTGTACGAAAATTTCGTTGCAACATTCACTTCACTATTTACTGCAAAGAATACAAATTCATTAGATTCTTGTAAAATACATTTATTTTTTATATTGGATTTTTATGTTAAATTATTTTTTCATGAATTTTAGTAATAATAAAATAATTAATGGCCAGAGTTTCGTGTCATTGTCTGTAAAAGAAAGTGAACAAAAACTTCATTGGGGTATCCTGAGACCACATGTGACCATTTGTGTTATTTTCTGAATGCGACTACTTAAGGGTTAATCCTGTTAAGGTCCCAAAATTGCTTTAACCAATTACATTTTCAACTGACAGTAATAATCATTTTCCATAATAAATACATCTATGTAAATATAATCTCTTTTTCTATTTTCATTATACAAAGTAACAGTTCAATATACCCAATAATTCAAGATCGAATGCATTTTGTCAAGAAACTGTATTTGTAGACCTTATCAGGATAAAACAATTATGTACATAAATACTCCAAGACGAAGCATATTTCCAAAAAAAAAATAGTATCTTTGTTCACGAAAATGGCAATATCTCATCTAGAAAAGACATTTTCTTGCGAATCTTAGGGTAATTATATCCCATTCCCCCAGAAGTGTATCTTATTCGAGTCGCGAACTTGTGTAGGTACTATATTCATAATTCGTCTGTTGAGTTTTTCATTGCAACATATTACACCAAAATTGTTTCTCATCTACGGACATTATAGGAAGGATACGAGGCATTAATTGTTCCAAAGTTTCCTTAATATATTGCGAGCATCAAACGTTGAAGGAAGATCCTAACGTAGACCCGCCAACCCAGCATAATTAAAACAACTAATTTATGGAGTGATAATTACATAGCTGATACGATTACAACGCGGTACTTAAGTTTTAATAAATCTATCTATCTGTGTTGAACTATGAAAGCATTATACTTCAGTGATACATTCCTATGGAGTATACGTACTCAAGTTATTTTTAAGCATTGTGCACAGTTCCTGTCTGCTTGACCCGGAAATGTGCTTCAACCGTTAATAATTCAGTTTATGCTAAACATTTAAGAATAACTTTTATAAGACCAATAAGTTGCTCTAACTTGCTTTTGAATGTTGACTGAATATAAATTAATTTAAATAAATGCCTCTGCTTTGTAGAAATTTTAGTTACCGTCGTTCGATTAAATGATCTTATTGGAATTTATTTCTATTGAAATTAGAAAATAAAAGATTAATAATTTAATTAATATTGTACAGTGGCCATATATGTTGCATGGTATGACGCCCAGCTTCGAATGAGAAAAATTAATCGAGCTGAGTGAAAATCCGTTTATTAATCACACCACATAAATATGGGAAATTCTTTAATTATGTATTTGAATAAGATAAATTTGTAACTGTCATTATTTTATGCGAAATTCATTTTTCCATAAATCTGCGTTTGCAATGAAACCAATTACACTTACACTAACAGAAAAAGAAGTAAACGAGATACTTTTATTCATGTTCAATGGTCCCGTTCAAGAGTATCCTAAATTTCGGTAGTCTGATGTACAAAAATAGAATTTTTAATTACTTATAAGATTTTTAATAATTCCCTCTGTAAGCACGTTCTTTACATTTGGTAATTATTAACGAAGCGACTAGATGGTATGTAGATAGATATTGATTACTTTCGAGGAATATAATTCCGTTGAATTTCAATTACTAATTGATTCGTCTGGGGGAGGTGGGAGGATCAATGGATCGTAGTGCATTCGCATTCCACCATTTAATAATTATCCGAGCACAAATTGAGCTCGATACAGGCAAAAAATTCTATCGAAGAACATATTTAAAAAATATTTCAATCAAATTCCAATAAAACGATATCGAATCCCTTTGAAGTTTCCCTCTGTTCAGATTGAGAGACTATATGGTCCGGATCAGAACAATGAAATCGCTGAAAAGCATTAATTAAAGTGTTTTCGTATGTAAAATATACGTAACTTTGTCCCAAAGTCAAAAAATTATCATTTTCGACATTGCAGCTCTGTAAATTGTTAAATTAAGTTGATTTGTACGTAAAACGGTATTTCAAATAAAAATGCCAGTAAAAGAACTGTAAAATCGGAAACGATCATTTTTGGACTTTGGGTCAAAGTTACCCCTGACTGAGTCAAACTTATCCCAACTTATAGTATTTTAATCGACCAATGATTGCCTAATAAATTTATCAGAAAATGAATTAAGGTAAGGCGAATACACTAACGTCCAATTTCTTACCCAATAATCGCAAAATACGTCAAACGTACATTCTTAGCCCTCACGATTCGCGACAGACTCGAAGTAAATGATCATAATCCTGTACGAACCAGAGTCATTGAAAGATTGTCTCCTCGCGTACAATGCATATGTATTTACATGTCTTTTCATCTCACCGATGTGTCCCTCTGGATCACATTTTTCATCCGGCACACGCGACAGTCTCTGTTTGGTAGAAATGATAGACAAACGGTAGTTTACTGAATCAACGACCGATGATGGTCGGCTCGTCGGCCATCGCGATCTCCTCCGTCGGTGCCTTGTCCCTCTTCCTCTTCCTCGAGAACAACATGAAAGCGAATCCTGCCAGCAAGTTGCAGAGGAACACGATCCAGGCCAGGATCAAAGAGAAATCGTACCTCATGACCGCGCCCTTTGGAAAGGTCGCGTCGACGTGTTTGCTCTCGTACTCGATCGAAGATAGGAGTACTTGTATCACTACCATATTGCAGGCACCTGAAACGTATTTTAAATTATTATCAGGTCATTGTATCAGGTCATCCTATAATTTATGCAGCTTTTCTCAGTAGATGAGATCGGACCTACTTCGAGTAGTCTATTTTGTTAATTATTGAGAACATGGTCCTCAGCGTCGATTTCAATGACCTTGAAATATGTTATCAAGGCTATCACTCTGAACAATTTTTCCCTATATGTATAAGAGGCGGTCTCTCTTAGTTTGCAAGATATTCACCGAAAGACTGTTCCTACTAGTACATTGAATTTCGTGTATACGTGCACGTTTATGCAGGGAATTAAACCAGTATGATTTTGATACCGGTATTATACCATCAAAGCTATACTGAAACCGATATATTGCCGAAAACCGAAATAAATAACGGTATTTTTTCGGTTTCTATAAGGGTAGGGCTTATATAGGGTTATATAGGGCGGATGTACAACCGAAAATACCGGTATTTTACGTTTCGGTAAAAGTCCCTGCGTTCATGACAATGTGTGCATCAGCGTGGGGCGACTGCTTACCTATGTTTCTATAAACACATCTCAACAGCCGGCAAACAACAGGTGTTAAAGTCCCACACAATTCATGGAGCTCAGTATGTGGTAAATAATTAAACTTTTATTTCATAACTAAATAACAATGTTTATTTAAATAAAAACAGTTCAAAACAACAAGTTCTCTCAGAAAATTCAATGCAGTAGTAGCAGCAGTTTTTTACGAATATCTCGGAAACTAAGAGAGATCGCCTATTATATGTATAAGAAGAAGTTGTTCAGAATGATGGCGTTGATAACATATTTCAAGATCATTAAAATCGGCGCTGAGGACCATATTCTCAATAATTACCTCGAATTTAATGAGACTTTTTGGGCATATACCAAGACTTTTTCTGGTCCCAAATCACTACTCAAAAGTCAGGAGTTATTTGCTTCTGAACATTTCGTAATGCTATACGTACTAAAAGTAGCTTAAAATATATAGTTTTTATGAAACATCACATTTTCTTCTTACAGTGGAAATATGCGTACAGTAGAATATGTCCATTGCTTCAGGTAAAGTAGTACAGATCATATTTCCTGATTAAATGACATATAAAATTTATTACTTAAATTTTAATGATCTATTCAAGAGACTCTGTGGATGATTTATGAACTCAACAGTTAACATTCTGTAATTCTGTGCTATCTGTTCTTGGAGTAGCAGATTCGTTTACGTTTCCTGCTATCAAGAGTGTCATCAATTAGAAGTAGAAACGTTTGAGTTCTTTTAAAATATCAGCTCTAACTGTTTTAAGAATTTGTCTACTTTAATTGAAATCAGGTGAACGTCAAAAACGACATTACGACCGTCAAAGGATTAACCGAACTGCGTTATGCCAATCAGAACGAAATTAATTACCGCTAATGAAATGTATCCCGCCAGCCAGTCGCTTGAACATGTATCGTGGATTGCGGAACGTGTAGATCGAGAAGCAAAAGCCCATTATCATCACGAACAAGCTGATTATGGCGAATGATACTTGGGTCCTCGAGTAATCTGCAAATAATGAGTAGAATTACGGCACGAATAATTCCTCGTATGTTACATTTTTATGCTTGACTTTGGATATTTTGCTGAAGTTACTAATTCGAAGGATAAGCTAGGAGATTCAACTTTCGAACGAGAAGCAAAAAAACATCGATTTGTACCATAATGTATACTAGTAATAGTAATATGTTCTAAAAGACAAAATGAGGGGTTGTTAAATTCGAGATTTAATTAATTGAATAAAAGTTGTTTGATGGTCCTGCAAGAATTAACATACATAGAAATAAATTGTGTGGTAGGGTTAGTTATCTGTATCAATAGATTGATCGTTAGGTCTACAAAAATTTCGAAATAAACTAAAATCTCTATTAAAAATGTTCACTTAATAATGGATGATTGCACGTCCCATATACATAGAACAAAATGTAATGGGTAAAGCAGGATGTAGAAATCTAAAGCAATAGAACTACCGGATGGAATACTGGATGAGAAAGGACAAGTAAAAATGTGCAGCATGCAGACATAAGTATGGAACACTAAAGTACCTAATAGAATATTGTTATAATGCAACGTTAGAAAGTATAAAAGGGAATATAAATTATAATGAAACCGGAACAGGTGGTAGATAGTAGAAAGAGAAAAAAAGTAAAAGGATTTTTGTTTGGGGGGCCAGGTCCCCTGACTTTCGCCCATAACACTCCCCATCAGGCATCTATATGTACGTATTTTATACCACGTACTTGGCTTGCACAAAATAAAGTTTTGTTACAATTATTATTTACATATTTATTTAACACTAAAGAATAGAAAGATATAAACATAATTCTTAAAAATAAAAGAAATTTGAGTTTGATTAACCCTTATGTAGGCAACCGGGTACACATTTCTAAATTTCCTTTCACAATATTGTGTGTTCTTGTCTAAAACAGCACTTGGTATATTATAGGAAGGAAAAAGTAAGAGTTTCGGAAAAATATGAAATTAAAATTATGTATGTTCATCTAATTTGTCAGAATAGGGGTATTCCGATTACATATTTCAATAATTTCTGGACAGAGAGCCAGGCCCACCGTGGTCCTACCTAGTTACGCCAATGTTCTTGTTTCAGCCCTAGCTGTCGTAATTAAATTATAATAAATTATCCTCAATTGGTAAAATCCAACCTCATTGTAAATTGTAAAATATCAAGTTCATACTGTGGCCGCAAGGTAAAAATCATTAATAAACGTAGACATAGACACAAATTCCATAATATAAGTATTTATTTATAAATTTGTAAAACTTACTGAGAACGGTTCTGTTCAATCCAGGATCCAATTTGATCTGCATGTCTGTCGGGAACATGTCTTGATTCTTGCACTCTTCTGGACAGAGAAAAGATTAAGTTAATTCCGTGTAACACGATTCGATCGAATGAGTCCGTTTCGCTGGTTATACGCGGGTACGATATGACGCTTGAATCGAAGACGCTTAAATCCCCTCGGTTTACTGTAATCACCCCATCCATCTCCATTTCTCCCGCGGCCTCCATTTACCATTTCCTTATCCCGGTTACCTTTCCTTGCTCGGGATGGCCTCGTTCGTGTCCCGCGTCACGATAAGTTATCTCCAGGCGAAGCCTTTTAATAGTGATCTGAGAGACAATAACGCTGCGATCAGTGTTTATATCCTGGCCAATAACCATTTAACTGTGTTTGAATCATCCTCGTATACTATATGTAATAGATATTCCTCCTTATTACAAGCGCCGAACGGCCGACTTTCTGTATTGTTGAGGGAAACTTGAAGGTTCCTCCACGTTAAAATACATCTCGTAGCTTGCCGGTAATTATAAAGTTCAGAGGGCGGTGGGATAATAATATTCACAGCGTGTAGAGTTATATTGTTTGAAGTTTAAGATACAACGGGCGTCACTATACAAAGAGATCAGTAACATTTTTATTTTAATATTCTATTCTTCGAAGGAAGTGTCGAGGTTATTTGTACCAATGCACGATTACTTTGTTATGAATTATACAGGGTGTCATGTAACTAATGGTACAACGGGGGGTGCTTCTACGTGAAAAAAAAAATAAAAAGTAAAGAGTAAAATTTTTGGATAAACTTCTGAAAAGCAAGCAAATTAGATGACCCTGACCTTGACATGTTATCAAGATCATCCTTCTGAGAAACTTTCAAAAGGTTTAAACCACCGATCATTGGTCATCGGATGTTTTTAAATACTCACAAATGAGCCTTCAACATCTTAAGTCATTTCATCAATTCTCCTTTGCATTGTATTATTGCTCAAAGTAATTTTCTTGGTAATATCAGACTCTGGCTTGTGTAGCTTAGTGCGTATTATCTCACTTATAGCTGGTAGAATTAGTTCTTCACCAACAGTATATGGTTTCCCAATTTAGCAATCAGTAACGAAATGTTCTAAGAAGGACGTCAACCATCATCTTGTTTGGATGCTACTGAAAAAAGTTTTGCCACTGTCGACTGTCTCAAACATTTTTCTTTAAGTGCTTGAAAATAAGGTAAATCCTTATCTTCCTTATCAGCATGAACTTTTGTCAAATGTTCTTGTAGTCTTGAAGGCTTCATAGCTTCATTTGATAGAACTTTCTGGCAAATCGGGCACTTCAATAATATATTGTTTGTAAACGGCTGAATAAAGTCGTAGTTCAAATATTCAATATTATATTGTTTAAATTTTTTCGTAGGTTCGGCCATGATATTATCAGGTTAATAATTTTCTTGACAAAGAATAGAGCGCAGCGGTCGGGTAAGAAGCGAAAACACTACCGGAGTGGAAGGAAACCAAAACACAGAGATCCAATTTATTTTTATTTCTTCTTCGACTATCCTTTATTTTATTGAAACACGCTTCACCGACATATACAGTCGCCGGTGGATAAATTAATGACAATGAGCCGTTATCTCCACGATCCTCAAGGCAAGTGAAGACTGGGAAAAGCGAGCAGCGTCAGATAAACGAGATTAAGTGGAATGTCCTTTCAGTGGACACAACAGAAACGCTTTCCATTCAGTTAAAAGTGTAATGAATGCGATTAAAGTGGCGGGGAACAGATTTAAAGCAAGAAATCTATCCGTTTTCGTTTCACAATTTTCACAGAAACAAATATCGAAACGATATGAAATAATTGATCTACAAACAGGAAGAATAAATTTAATATTATTCAACAATCCTATGGTCTTTTCGTAATTCAAAGAAAATTCTACCGATAAGTAAAGTAATACATAAGCATAGAAATTTATGAGCAAATAAAATAATTCTCTGATAAATCAGAAATGGAACGACAATGAATAATTAGACAATACATTTAATTTGGGGAATTATATTTTAATTTATATTAAACATGAACATTTAATTCTTCGTGAAACCACCCCTTGAAGCGTGTTTGAGATAAAAAGATGTGATAAAAGACTTCGATTTAAAGACGAAAACGTTCGAAAAACAACAAACCCGGCAAGGACTTATGGGACAGCCCAATAGAAACGATTTTAGGAAATATTCTTTATATTTTTATGTAATAATAGTAACACCGAAATGGAGTATCATAATAACTTCTTAATCGCAGCGTGTACACTAAATCTTGTTATTAAACTCACGATGTAAAACAGATGTTACGACCATTAAATGTAGTCGCTGTTCCCGAGAAAATGAATGATCAGTTTATCTTAATCTTGCCGGAAACACGAGTACCTATATAACGCGTAAATTTCAATGAAACTGTACAAGATCCAAGTTTACATTACATCGACGACATATGATACTAAGTACTCTTTTGTCAGTTGTGTTCAAGATCCTCTAATATTTCATAAAAAATCATGATTTAAATGTTTCTAATTATAAAGAAATATAAATTACACTCTACTTTATTTTTTATGACTAAATTGGACTTTCAAGCATTTTCATTTTCACATAATGTCTCATTTTTGTCCAGAATCGTATGATTTTACAGAAACTGATGTTTTTCAAAAACTGAGGATGCTAAAGTTATTCTGCTTTCGGATTTGTGTTCGGAATAAGAGACTCTACAAGCATCACCCAGCATCACTCTACAAGATGGTTTCAATTGGTTGAACAATGTTATCAGAATAACAAGTTTTCGAGAAACTCAGAAGTGAAATCACAATGATAAAAGTTGATCTGTCTTCAACGATGCGTACCATGACCAATAATGATGTTACATCTGCATAATTTAATGCCTCTACCACGTGGATGATGAAGCACACGTGCGGAACCCTGCGTATGACGCATGATAAGTGAGCGCAGGACTGCAGACACGAAACTCTGACAGTGCCTGATTAACTGTGCGACGTGAAATTAGTGGCATTAATCCCTGTTCTCATGTATAAATATAAATATCTTTATTTCTGAGGAAAAGTATCCATTAGAAAATCTCGTAATACCGATTACAATGTGTGACCGATGAAAAAAGTCTTGTCAATATTAATACTAAATTGAAGGGATAAGTCGAGTTAAAAAAACGCAATTGTTTCAATAAGAACAGCGAAATACTAGTTGTATAAAAGATAAATAAACACAAAAAAGCAAAAGATAAGGATTATCCATTTGGTAAGGATACAATGAACACATAAATAAATCTTGTGGCTTACATATTGAGATCAAGCAGTCGTAAGAAGTTCTGGCTCGCGATATTGGAGTGAATCGGTTGATAAAATACTCTATGAAAATCTGCGTTTCTCCAATGGGTTGAATTGAGTTATAGCCAAGAAAGCAATATACATCAATGTCCATTACAGTTCTCTGCGTATGGATTTAATCCGAAGTAAACGGTGTGAGTGGGTAAACGAAGGGGAACAACGTATGCAATTAATCATTTGTGCGTTGGAACGTAACGGAGAAGTGTATATTTCAGCGAGCATGAACTGTTCGTCGATCCATATTGTAAAAAACGTTGTATTTATCGTCTTCTGAGGACTCGGGAGCGAAATATCTAAATAGCATTTTCTTGAAAATTATTCTAAAATTAATTGAATTTTCGTATCTTTGGAAATGTGCTGTATATCTTTAAATAAAAACAGTTTAATTCTCCTAGTTCAAAAGGATTAAAAATGTAAATAAACTTCAAACTCAGGATCATTCGTAAATAAGTTCTTTCCATTTCTCCTTTGGAAAATTTGTTTACAGCAGTATCTCTTGGAGGCAATATTTGCGACTTTGTGTACACTCGGCTCCATTTTTTATATAGGTCAATGATCCCGCCTTTCTTGAAACTACGCCATCAACCTTCCACTCCGACAGTTGACGTACCATGGCAGCTTTTGTGAAGCTTTAATTTAGAATCGTTGGAATTCCGATGCATTAATTTCACGAAGATGCGAAATTTCTAAACGGGCATCTCAAACCGTGTGGAACGTTGCGTAGGTGCACCGCGATCTTTCTTCATTGTAAATCACGTGTAGCGAGTTTAATTATTGGAAAAACATGCGGTGGGACGTTCGAGTCCAGCCACCGAAGTAAATATTGGCGTGGACGGTGGTCCTGTCGTGGCTATTCAATTTAATTTTCGTTTATACGTTAAATTCACGATATGGCTGTGTCGTTTCAGCTCAATTTACAGTTAAGAGACATAAATTGGTTGTTTCATGAAATTTGATGCAATTGATTATTTCAAATTGCACATTATTGGAAGCTACATAACCTATACGAGAACTTTCAAAAAGAAACTTACAATTAGTATACTACTGTGCGTAAAAATTACAGCATAAAGGAAAACCAAACTGTATCGGATAACTTTTTAGCCATGTACACTACCTTCCATAAGTCGCTAGACATTAGATTGTTTTGAGAAAAAGAAAATTAAAACGGAAATATAATTTCGCAAATTTGTTGTATTTTTCGATGAGCTAATTATCTTGAACATACCTCAAACATCTTTCAGATTTATTTAACAAAAATTACAAAATCATAATCAGTTGGAAATGTTGTAACACTGTCCACAGTCGAACCAATTTAATGCAATCGAAAAATTCGAACGCTAATTTTTAGAATGACTAAGAACACGTGTAAAAATGAGGAAACTATGTACTGGGATTGATTACTAGACTGCAGGTTTTATGCATTTATAGCCTTATTATAGATTCTGTGAAATACAATAGAAGACAAAAGTTTCATCAGAATCAACGAGTTTTCTATTTTATTCTTCATCCGGTAAAATACTTAAGAGAAAAAGGAAACATTTGCTTGTGTCTTCATGAATTACGTTATAAACTATCATTATGCATAAACTTCCTCAGTCTATTGATTACAGACTAATTTGAGTGCAATCAGGGGAGAATTATTCTAAACGATTCACTATTAAAATGTCACGATTTGTAAACAAAAAAATTAAATAGATTATTTAAATTGTTCACAGCACTGAAATTGAACATAATATACATTTTCTCTACAATATGCTGAGTTAATAGTAATTCGACCGTTTCATAATTTTAGTAACTTTTTAATTTTAACTCTTTCTGATTCAACGTTTAGTAGCATAAGTGTCCGATGACTTGTGGATGGGAGTGTACGTTATAAATAAAAAACTGCGCCAATGATTAGATAAAAAGGGAAAAAAAGAAGAGGGGCCTGCCAAAGAAGCGACAACGCTTTTTTAAAAATAAGTTTACTTACTGTAAGGCACAAACATGGTGGAATTTACGGATTCCGGCGCTAAGCCTTCCGTGCAGCCTCTCCAGAGACCCATGTGTTTGTAGATCAATCTTCTACCCATTCTGCCCGCGTCTCCTAAAGGTAAACCTCTTTCGTCGGGTGCTTCGACCGTGAACCAATGATCGGTCCCAATAGCCACCGACCATATGCAGACAGATAGTCCAACGAGAATTGTGCAACCGAGAAGTATTCGCCTCTCGAATATGACCTATGTGATAAAGTATTCACAATACTTTCTTCCATAGATGAACAACGGATAACGTTCAACATTATTAAAAATTCAAAAATACATTATTGTAGTCAAGAATGAAACTTGAGCAAATCTTTGTTTTCATAATTCTAAATACCGTACGCTGGGGTAATTTTGGCTCATAAGAAAGGTTTCCGAACCCGCAGGTCCCGATTTTAATGAAACAATTTTTCTTCTGGACCGACTTTCACTTTACGGGAGTGAAATCACCCCTTAAAGTCGAATTTTGTTTTTCAATATGCATGTCTTACTAACCGTAAGAGATAGGACAAAACTTTTAATGGGTAAAGTGAGTGATATTAAAAAACCTCATTTTCCGACTTTGAAACAAAGTTACCCTGGCTGAGTCAAGGCTACCCCACTTACAGTAAGGGATACCAATTGATGAGGTTAAAGATTATACCTGATTGTACAATGTCTTCATTCGACTCGCCATTTTGTCCACTTCCGACGATGCTTGTTTAAAAATTTATTCGTTGTGTGATTTACTTGTTTTGTGATGTTAATACGTGATCACAATGTACATTATTATTCACTACGTCACAATCTCACCGGACACTTATTTGCAACAAAAACGAAATGAACTCTAAGGAAATAGCACTCTTAGCAAAATGACTGTTTCTTTTAATTAGATTGAATTTTTACATAAGTTTAGTGTCTTTAACTACCTTTATTAATCTGTTACTTTACCTAATTAAATTTATTATTTTAAGATTTTTTATTCAACACTGACTTATGAATAATATTAAACAGAGTTCATTTACGTTAAATTAATTTTTCACTTGCTTCCATGTTAATTAGATTCAAATTCACACGACTCTTTTAACATACTTTTTTTAAACAGTTCATTATACAATGGACATTTCATTTCGTTGAAAGCTCTTTGTGGCCGCATTCGCAGCATCTTTCACGGAACTCATACGGTAAATTTCAAAGTAAATGTTCCTTCCATTAAACCATAATTCTTCTCTTTTTCCTGTACGTTAAATGTTTCCACAGATAATGTAGGAAACCTTTATATCATACTCTTTTATCCACTGTTTACTCTTCCCCGTAATTTAATTTTCAAGCCTCTTCATTACTTCTCTCCGGCACTCATAACGGTCACCTTCATCGCTGTTCAGTGAGTTACATCCGATCACTTCCATTTCCTTCTGACGATGATAAAAATCTTCCTTCGTATGCCGTTGATGATTTTTTCTTAAAAATTCCGAAACAAGCGATCCCGCTTTATCATAACGAGATCTCCCTCTTTTTTACTTCATTCTTTCGCTGAATTCTTTCCCAAACACCTGGAAACAATATAAAATATTCGTTCGATTAACGTACGGTTACGTAAAAATTTCCATTGAAAACAAAAATAATATCATTAATTTCGATGATTTATTTATATAATAAAAAGAGAAAAAAGCGATTGATTTTGTTATGAGATTTTTTACAACGAAAATAAATTAATAACACACTCAGGAGATCGATACGTCGCGAAGTCCTCAGCCTAATTTCCTCAGTGCTTTGCGACCACACACACTGCATTAACTTCGTGTGAGTGGATAGAAAAAAAAATACTTCTTTCAATAAATAACGATTTATTAAAAAATATAGAAATAACAATAGAGGTAACGGAAATGATGCAGACCTATTCACAGTGGTTGTATGTTCGATGGTAAACTTTTAAACTAACGATTCTAGCTGGATGTGACGATCAGAAAAACTATCAAGACGGGAATAATGTCTCCTTTATGGCTAATTGGTATTGTCGTCGTTGTCGGTGTGTATTCCAAGCGAGACAAATAAATGGATATAGAAACTTCATTGCCTGCCTCTACGCATTATTTCTGGATTCCTAGAATCATCCTTTGTGGAAAGTTAATAAAAGCCCCTATATTAATCCACGGATTGCAGCTGTCCAGAAATCCAGGTTTACATGTTATGACTTTTTTTCTTTAAGAATTTATTACAGAAAAACGACTGGATGAATGAATGTACTCGTTTTTTTATTAAAAAGATATAAGTCGTAAATTGTTTTTAAAAACTGTCGAAGTTGTACATAAATAAATATGGCCGATAAATTAATTCCAGCACATGCGTGCAACGCAAAAATATCTACGATGACTGCATAAGGAACGTATGATACTAAAACGTCACCGAGCAGCATTTCGAAGTCTGAATTATTACATATACGTAATGGGAATGACTCGGTGGTCTGAAAGACGGCAGTCGTTAACTTCCCCAGGGCACTTCACAGACGTCGCTCGTCATCATTTAGCTCACGGTCTTTCGGGCTTTGTTGTCGAGAATGAGATTTCGCGGAACACGACCGCATTGTTTCCATATTATCGTGCCAAAAGAGCGACAATTCGCAGCACCGCGAAAGAAGGGACATGATGAGAGGGAGAGAGTTAAAGAGAGCCGAGATCTCTGGAGGCGGTGATGAATCGAAGCTTGTGCCAGAAGATAATAGCTAATACCAGCTTTTGTTAAGAGACGCGTCGGCGAAGAGTTCTGAGGGCAGATTCAAAAGCTGATTGACGAGGTGCTGACAACTGGTCGCCTTCAGCGTGAATGTTACTCCGCGGAACTGAGGCATTCACACTTATCAAGGAATTATTGTAGTACAAAAAAGTGTGGCATTCTGTTAAAAAAAAACAAGTTGAAAAAATTCTAATCACATCTGTTAGTTTGTTCCAATTTATTTGCATCCGTCTGTAAAAATTCCTTCTACTTTTCCTAGAATAAATTATTTTAAACGGAGACACTACGAAAGTAATGGTAGTCGAGTTTCTAGATACTGAAACTTTTATTTTGTTTTACGAAATTAATACCAAGTCCTTCGTACATGATAAATAACTGTAGAATTGTCACAAATACGTATGAGATGAATTTCTAAAACATAATGCATCTTTACAATTTAATCTAATAAAACATTTCGTGTATAGAATCCTAATGAATATAAGAATATCAGACTTGATTTTCATCAAATTGCCTTTATTTGAAAATTAACGTACCTAACAAGCTTTCATGAATGTAGAATTTCAGAAGGAACGAGAATATTACCTGAAACGAACGAATGAAACTTCGACGCTAACGAATCGAAAATTTATGTATTCTTTTTATATCCGTCTGGTTAATCGTCTATGCTCGGGACCCAACCAGAATTCAGAGAAAATAGAGTTAGAGGACCTACGAGTCCGCATAGTTCCACGTCGACCGGAGGCTGAGCATAAATTTGACTAGGCATCCACTGGCAGACGTTTCATTGTAAGTCGAAGATTTAGCCCCCTTTGTTCCGCAACTTTGGTGAAATTGCATTCCAACGAAACAAATATCTGATTAAAATCGGCCGAGTAATTAACCTACAGCGATTTTGGCAAGGGATACAGCGGACAAGTCCCACCCAGTAAAGTTTAAATATAAACGGGAACAATGCAGACTTGTTCTAAGATCCAATGCGTTTACCTCTTAATTTGTCGGTAGCCACGCCATATCAATAATTAATTCCATGTTTTATGTTTCCGTATGGCCCATAAACCAGTTTATGGTGGTGTTTTATTATTTATCGACGGGTGGTGGATGTCTGACAAAGACTATCTACTTCTTCTTTGGGTTATTCAAAGCTACTAGTTTTATTAATGTGTAATTTAATATTGAGAAAATTCAACGTACGCAAACCAAATTTTTAATTACGAAGAAGCATTGTATTAAGTCTAAGTGTTAAAGAAATTGTACATTTCATGATTAATATAGTAACTGACAATGAATGTAAGAAGTAGGTCCACACGGTTTTTTAGGATTAAGAGATGTCTAAAAAACAGAATAAAGTATGGCTGACTCATGATATCTATTTCCACTTGTGTGATGAAATAAAACTAAAACCTCCATTCGAATACCTTTGACATTAATATAAATTTAAGGTTTTCTACTATCAGATTCAATTAAGGTAAGTGATTTCAGACGCTTTTTTAAGTACCGAGTAACAGTAAACCTTTAGTAGTATATAACAATGATTCATGGTTCCTCTTAATTTATTGTGTCAAAACTTGGTCCACTTAATGTAAGTTATACTCATTTTTCGATTAGAAGTGGAAGCCGAAGTTACGTAACACCGCTAGTGTGATTTTTCTTGTTGTATGTAAAATCGGACCGTTTAATCAATGTCAAAAGTAAGCTGGAAAATCATCTCATATCCGGAAATTGTGCAAGCACTCATACAATTTGCCATCGAGGAAATATAAGACTGTGGAGAATTTATTTCGTTTTACGATTTCAGTGATTAAAGACTTGAAATTTATTTATACATATAATCAACGAGGAACAATGATTTAAGTTACTATAATGGAACAATTACTTTATTTTTAACGTAATTTTATCAAAAACACTCCTGTATTATCTATTCTGAACATGTACTGTAAGAAGGTTTTTTGCATGATTTTGCAACATAGTGAATTTGAATACAAACAAGAATGACTAAAACTTAAAATGAATATATATTATCGGACAACTGGGTGCCAGAACTTTTACCTTAAAAGAAATGAAATGACTTCAGTTGTTACACAGCAATCATGTTGTAAGTTCTGTCATAAGTATACCATCTAAAAAATCTCATATTTTTTAACTATTTAACATTCACAATGAATGGAAGAATAATTCGAAATTGGTTTCAAATATCAAATCTTCCGTAAAGAACATTGTTCTTTTGACTTTAGACACACAGCCAGTTGGAAGCTAAAATACGTTTCAAGTACATATATCTCGAAAATAAATCATTATGCTCACACGATGCGATAACGACCAGTTCTCCTTCAATTTTAATATGAAAATTAACTGCGAAAGGGTCGTAATAGATATCGCACGAATGAGAATTCTATTGGTGATCGAACGATCACCAAAAGTAACTTAACGCCCCGGCTTCCCGATGGATGTGTTTACCCTAGCAACACGTGCAGTCGAAATTTACGAGACCTGCGAACGTGAAAAACGATCTTCATGATCAACCTATGGTACATGAATTATTATACACAAAAACGTCATTCAGAACGTTTAGACCGTATTATTGTCGTATCCGTTGCTAAATGAATACTTGCTCATCAAGTTATAGGAATCCGTCTAAAAATCGATACTTAATAAAAAAAAACATTTACTCATCATATATGACGTGTTCTGATAACAAGGGGTGAAGGTGCGAAAAAATCAATTTTAACTTTTTCAAGTTTCTTTATAGGCAGAGATCTCTTTGCAATAAGACCAACCCCAATTTTCTAGAATAATTATTGACTTCACAACTTACAATTAAACTCATGTGTTAGTAATGAAAGTTGACAATTGAATTAATTATAAGCTAATTATAAGGATACTGAACTTAATGGAATATCACATAACCGACGTTAATCCGTTTTTGAATTTAACTATGAAATTATGGTTTAGTAAAACATTGACCAAGGAAAATTTT